TGATAGCTCTGTAACCAAACAAAATTGAAGGCTACAAAAATTATGGTTTGTCTGATCAACGACAATTTTATACTCAGTAATTTACATTTCGTTTTGTACATTTTTGGAGGGGTGGAGGATAGAATAGAGAAAAGAAGATGCCTAGAGAAAATGTGTCATGTTTGTCACACTAGAGGAAATTCAGGATTTTTTAGATATTGCCTTGTAGAATTAAGAAATTAAAACTTGTATACTATTAAAATATGAATTATTAGCTAAGATTTAAAGCTATACTAATTGGTATAACATAAACAAAAAGTAGTTTAATAAAATTCTGAATGTGTCATGCACAGTATAGGATGGCTGTGGCGATAGGGTTAATTCAAATCAGATGACTTTTTCATAATATTATTATTTGAAAAACTTTTTTTTTTTTACATACTTTGAAAAATTTTAAATGTTCTTGTCACTAGGCTTTCTGCTGAGAAACACTGGTATGATACTTTTAGCTCATAGATAATAATGAAAGATAATAATTATAACTGTAATCAATGAGAACAAATTCTGAAAGTTCTGATGTCTAAGAATGTTAATGTCAACAACTTCAATATATCTTATTTTATATATCTCTTTCCATCAACTATATCCATTAACCATCTGTCATTGGCACTGGTCTGACTCTGTTTCTGTGAAGCTAAACATAATAATATTTACTATAATTCTGAATCTACTGAATTTATTTTTAAGAAATTTGGCAAGGTTATAGTAATTATAAGTCTGTCATATACAAAAAAAAAGCAGATGTTTTATAAAGTATGACAACCACAGACTTGTCTGTGAATTTACAAAAACTTTACTGAGTAAGTTTGAGTGAAAGGTGACTTTCATAATAAGAATAATAATACATCTTTTCATCTTAATGTTTTCATATTTCACTCGCATAACCTCTAGAATGTCCTAAATGAATATCAAAAGTTTTTTGGTAAAACTTTATATTTTCTCTACCCCTAACACTAACTGTAGTAAAATCATCAATGTATAGAGGAATGAAAAAAATGACATTGAGGGATGTGTCACGTGGGCATGACATCTTTTCATAGATCCAGTAAAGCAAGAAAATTAGAGGTCCTAAGTTCATATTCAGGCTTGCCAATGTCTGTAGTATGTGTCTCTAATTGTGTGGACACTCAAAAAATCATATAAAAGTAGAAAGAAAACCTAAAATAGATAATTTGGAATGCAGATGCATCACATGACAAAGAAATGTTCTTTTTAATATTAAGATACTAAAGCTTACATAACATTAAAATTTAAATTAAAAAATATGTTTTGATGCCAAGTTTATATGTACATTAGTAATATTTGGTTAATTACATTTTTTTATGTAACTGTACAAGGTCATGACATGTATCTTTTGACCCTGTAGTGTGCATAGGGTTAAACATTCAGTAACAGGTGTTCATATCAGCCATCATCACATATATATGTTAGCTAATTACAGGATATACACAATTTTGAATGCTTAGGGAATATGACATTAAAATTTACTAAAATTACAGCTTTACATCTAAAAGAGAT